CTTTAAAATATTCAAAGTTATATTTCTCATAATATACAGATATTTACATTATTATACACAAATACGGAATAACCAGCGTTCAAATACTACTACTTTCGAAAACATGCCCTTCCATATACAAATGTGCATGCATGCCTAATAACTTAATGTGTCCAATAAATAACTTAAGGCAGGTTATCACAAGAGTTCCTTATTTTAAATGTCTGGCCGCTATGAAACAGGCCAGCATAAATGTTCCAGTGACGACGGCTGGAGCAGAAACCTGTTTTCTCGAACGCTGTTCCAAAGTCGTATCCACGATGTTTTCCATTATTTTTGCTTCGTCTATAATGTCGATTTGATTGCGTTACTTTTCGTTGTCGTCAGTTCTTTGAGAATCTGATCTCAACATGTCATCTTGCCCCCATAATTGAGGTCTGTAAATGGGAAGAAAGAAAATTATTGCTATATTGAATATTGCTATATTACCTGTGTAAGATCGTATGTTAATTTTCTGGGCTGCCAGTTCGTCTGTGTTTTTGGCTCACAGGCGCTGGTTTTTATAGATTTGCAGTGGAGGAACGGCTTAGGTAGTCTCGGTCAATACAAACCTAGATTTCTAATAAGTTGGCCCATCATATAACAGTAGTTCATCTTGTTGGTGTAACCATAATTAAGTATAATGATTGGTTTATGGTTGTATTGGGTGTAACCATAACGGTTTCTGTAGCTGTGGGATTGTAACATGTGGAAACCGTGATGCTGGTAACTGCCAAGTTTTCTATACAGATTCTTCCAGTCGATTTTGAAGAGTTCCCGATAATATCTGGCCACATCGTTGCGAACGTTATTCACTTTATTATTGATATCCTCCGTTTTTTGGGAATCTGATCTCAACATGTCTTCTTGCCCATAACGTCCATTGGTGTCTGTAAATCGGAAGAAAGGAAAATATTACTATATTAAGCTAACTGTGTAAGAACATATGTTCATTTTCTGGGCTGCTAATTCGTCTTTGGAGTGGGGGAGGCGGCTTGAATAGTCTCAGTCAATACAAACCTAGATGTCTAATGAGTTGGCCAATCATATAACAGTAGTTCATCTTGTTGGTGTAACCATAATTAAGTATAATGATTGGTTTATGGTTGTACTGGGTATAACCATAACGGTTTCTGTAGCTGTGGGATTGTAACATATGGAAACCGTGATGCTGGTAACCGCCAAGTTTCCTATACAGATTCTTCCAGTCGATTTTGAAGAGTTCCCGATAATATCTGGCCACATCGTTGCGAACGTTGTTCACTTCATTATTGATGTCCGCCGTTCTTTGAGAATCTGATCTCAACATGTCTTCTTGCCCATTACGTCCATTGCTGTCTGTAAATGGGAAGAAAGGAAAATATTACTATATTGAGCTAACTGTGTAAGATCTTACGTTAATTTTCTAAGCTGCCAGTTCATCTTCTTTTTTTTTGTTAAAAGGCGGTAGTTTAGATACATTTGCAGTGGGGGAACGGCTTCGGTAGACTCAGGCAATACAAACCTAGATGTCGAAAAAGTTGGCCCATCATATAGCAGTAGTTCATCTTGTTGGTGTAACCATAATTGAGTATAATGATTGGTTTATGGTTGTACTGGGTGTAACCATAACGGTTTCTGTAGCTGTGGGATTGTAACATGTGGAAACCGTGATGCTGGTAACTGCCAAGTTTCCTATAAAGATTCTTCCAGTCGATTTCAAAGAGTTCCCGATAATATCTGGCCACATCGTTGCGAACGTTGTTCACTTCATTATTGATGTCCTCCGTTCTTTGAGAATCTGATCTTAACATATCTTCTTGCCCATAACGTCCACTGGTGTCTATAAATGGAAGAAAAGAAAATATTGCTGTAGGGAGTAAACTGTGTAAGATTATATGTTAATTTTCTGGGCTGCCAGTTCATCTTCTTTTTTTTGTTAAAGGGCGGTAGTTTAGATACATTTGCAGTGGGGGAACGGCTTCGGTAGACTCAGGCAATACAAACCTAAATGTCGAAAAAGTTGGCCCATCATATAGCAGTAGTTCATCTTGTTGGTGTAACCATAATTGAGTATAATGATTGGTTTATGGTTGTACTGGGTGTAACCATAACGGTTTCTGTAGCTGTGGGATTGTAACATGTGGAAACCGTGAAGCTGGTAACTGCCAAGTTTCCTATAAAGATTCTTCCAGTTGATTTTGAAGAGTTCCCGATAATATCCATCTCTTGGTGACATCTGTTTGGCGTCACCATCCTGGCCCTTCACCTTTGCTGGAGGTTTATCAGAACTACAACTCAAGCAGGATGCGTTCTTCTGAGGAGCTGGCTTATGACGATTGCAATGAGAAGACGCGACGCTATCAACTTCACTGGCCACATCGTAACCCTGACCTGACTTCACTCCGGTACTAAGAGTACCACCAACATCCGGAATCCGAGACCCCACACTTGAGTTTTTCTGATCAAATATATCCTTCAGGTACTTGCGATTCACGAGCAACCCGACCTTTCCACACTCCGTTTTACAAACTTCCATCTTATTTGGTGGGATCTTGATAAACGTGGGCAGACTGTTGGTACTGGCGATGAAAATGTCGTTGCCAAACCCCACGTGGTTGTCACATGTTCGGTCAGTAGCATGGTCCCTTTCATAAGCTTTCGCTTTCTTTGGTGGGACCTTGATTAACGTTGACGGGCTCTTGGTACTGGAGGCAAACTTTTCGTCACCATATCCCACGTGAAAGTCACATGTTAGGTCGGTGAAATAGCGATAATCACGTGACTTGTCGACTAGTTCATCCTCGTCGCTCACGTGGTGAAAACAAGGGCTCGCACTTACACCACATGTACATGGTAGGCTGTTAATAACGGCGACCTCCTCACCACCACTGCTCACGAGGCTATCACATGATGAGCTCGTGGTATCGCCTTCACTGCTCGAGCTCTCGTCATTCGACGAGTTGGTTGTTTCGTCATCACTGTCCCCGTGCTCGTCACGTGATGATTCCGTGTCCGTGCTGGTTTCATCATCAGTGTTCACTGAAGCTTTTCTTGATAAGTCAACGGTTGCATTGATGATCACGTGCTTGTCACATGCAATATCATGCTGGAGGACGACGAATCTTTCTGATGGTATCGGTAGTATCTCTGCCCCAGGTGTCTCACGGAACGAGATCTTAAGTTTTTGTGGCACACTGACAGGTTTACCAAACAACTTGGAGCGGATCTTTGAGATGGTCAGACTAAAGAAAAAAACAAATATGTTTATGATAGAAATATGTTTAATCAGTCAATTCCTATGTTTCTTTAACTCTCATCAACATTCCTCTGCTTACTTCCACCAACCACAACCCTCGTACATTATAATCAGATCCTATCATTCCACTAGCATCAACTCTTATCAACTTTCCTCAAATCCTATCCCTCGCCGATCCTCTATATCTAGCGTCAACACTCTCATCAATTGGTTCTCCGGCAACGCGCAAGACGTGGGTTTGATAAATTATTCCTAACTGCTACCGGTTAGGTCTAGCAACTCTCTAAATTCAGCTCTATTTCCATCAATCAGATGTGCAAAAGTTATCTAAGTATTATCACTCGTAAATTTTTATTACACGAGAAGTTATTCTTACGGGAGTTTAATTCCATAATATCTAAAGATGGCGGCGCAAACATAGACGAAGATGATAAAAAGTTGATGGATTTCGTTCAGGTTGAATATATGATTGATACATTCTAAAGAATCGATAGAAAACATTGTTAATCCAAAAGAAACAATTGAAAATAAGCTAAAATATATAAAAACTAAACCGAACTGAAAATTTAACGAGTTTTTCTTGCCTTTAAAGAACCCTTGGAGTTCGTTGACGTCAACGCTCAGGTTTTTAAGACTTGACGTTTCACCTAAAAAATTGAGAGAAAGTTGAGCTTTCCGTTTACAACAGAACTGCGGTGTTAAAATTTATCCTATGGTTCATTCAGTATTTGTTTATACAACGTGAAAAATTATAAGGATTATGATTAGAATTCAACATAAACAGCAGGCAGTTCGGCAATTATTTTGTTGATAAGCCACAAAACCCGTGTAAGCGTATTGATTTGAGAAATGCTGATTCGAAAGAAAAGATAGTTTTCTTGGTTTAAATAAAGAAACATATCAAGCTTTAAGGCTACGTTGGCACCGGACGAATTTGGGGCCGTTCTTGAATTCGTCTGGTTTCCACGTATGAACACGTAAAACCGGTCAAATTTTCATCCATTTTTACCGTGCGAAGACCTGAACTTCGACAAATGCGAGTGCGCGACTGATTTATTGCGAAAATAAGGGACCACTGTAATTGGTTTACACTGTTGTGGTGTCCCTGCCAATTGATTGTTACAATTGGCGAAGTTTCAATAAATAAATAAATAAATAAATAAATAAACAAAATCAAATAGTTTCACTTTACCGAAAAGCCGTAGATTTTCCCGCTTGGCGGTGAGATTCACTTCCCTTGCTTGATCCGTCAGATTGTAAAGTTCAAACGAACTGTTATTGATCTTCTTTAAGAATGGAAAACCCTGTTTTGAAGAGTTTTCAAAATAGAAAAGACAATCTTCAGCAGAGCTATCAGTGATTGAGCTTTGATAGTTGCTTTGTCCTTGGTTAACATCGCCCACGAAGGTGTTGTTTGTGGCGACCGAACTCACGAACCCATGTTCGGAGTCTATCGACTTGTTGTCGTTGCCTATCAAGGATAGACAAATGATTGAAAATAATATTCGGATATCGTAATATAAAAGCATTTTTCACAGAGCGCACAAGTTTATAACTTTCTCTCGAGAAAAACAATTGCCAATTAACAGACTGATTCTTAGGTCATCTAATTGGATAAACATTCGATAATCCGCGATGACATAATTGGTCTCGCGTGCCGCGAGAAATTTGCGTGTTTTGCGCGGGATTTTTAAAGTAAGCTGAATAAATTTCTCTTCCTAAACCACTTTCATTCTCTTGACAGGAACAGAGTTTAAACAACATCCTAAACCACTTAGAGGCAACAATGACTTACTTAGCATCACACAACCGGACATTATTTTTCAAATCCATAAGGTCAGCTGACTGCGTAACGTTTGCCAAGGATAATTTTACTAGGATGCCGTGACGTTTTGACTCCGGTATTTTTCCGTTTCAATTCTAGGAATATTTGGAAGCCGGCGCGGATTTCATAGAAACGAACACTTTTAGTGGAACATCGATCGCACAAGCTGATTATGGACTCGAACATATCGTACGTATATGGCGTTTTGTCCACGCATATTTTAAAACAAATTTATATTTTGTATCTTATCCTTTTCTCTTGATATTCTATCTACTGAGATTCCTACTTTATCCTATCACAATGATATGTAATGACCTTGAATCGTTCTAGGTTTATCGTCTCAATAAAGAATCGGCGAAACTCGCGAAAAAAGCTGCAGAAGAAGTTGAGATATCATCTGGTGCGGTGTGAATGCTTTTGAACTGTGTTTTAAATTGATGTTTTAGTTCTTTTTGTGTTTACTTTCATGTGATACGATTTTGTTGCTCAGGGATTCCTCGTTTCGTTGCTGGTGCTGTTGGACCGACAAATAAGACATTGTCCCTGTCGCCTTCAGTTGAAAATCCGGGTTATAGAAATGTCAGTAAGTGAACCGTTGATAATCACGACAACAAATCCGTCACTTAGAAATTAGGTGCCATTTCTTGACCTTTCAATTTCAAGCGACCATATCCAGAGCATCTTTGATATCGTTGATGTGTTTTTAAGTAATGTTTTGCTTTCAATCTCTGTTCTTTTTTCACAGCGTTTGATGAGCTGGTTGAGGCGTATTCTGAACAAATCCGTGGTCTTCTTGATGGCGGTGCTGACATTCTATTGGTGGAGACAGTGTTCGATACGGCAAATGCCAAGGTGATGTTTCGTTGGCTAGTCTCCTTCATTGATCCCAAAAATAAGCTAGATAGCAAACCCATTTTTCTGCTGCACCAAATAAAGCCAGTTACATTACATTTTAATAATCTAATCCGTAAGAGGAATATACTAGCAAAACTAAAAGGGAATTAAATACACTTTTAGGCAGCTCTTTTTGCCGTCAGTACGATATTCGAAACATATGAACGCGTTCCAGTTTTTGTAAGTACCGTATATAGTTGTGGTGTTAAACTTCAAAAATTTCTTCTGAATGTGCGTGTTTCCACCACAGGTTTCTGGGACGATTGTTGATAAAAGTGGACGCACGTTGTCGGGTCAAACAGCTGAGGGTTTCATAACCAGTGTCTCGCACGCTGAACCAATGTGGTTGGTATAACATTCACAATAGCAGCCTTATCCAGTATTTATACTGAGTGAAACCATCATTTTCAGTTAATATGTTGAAGAAAAACCCAGCCAAATTTATTGACCTGTGTAGCTCGGGATATTAGTGTAGTTCGATTGCTCTTTGCTACTTTTTTTAAACGAATGAATCAAAACTAGTCTAGAATATCTCGTGCATTAGTCGAGGGCAAGCGATCAATAGTTGTTATTCTTGTGTTTTTTTAGTCTTGGTCTAAACTGTGCTTTGGGCGCTGTAGAGATGAGACCGTTCATTGAAGCATTTTCAATGGAAACAGATCGTTACATAATTTGTTATCCAAATGCTGGTAAAGTACTGAAAACTAACGATTTTCTATAATATTCATGTAAGTTTGCATGGTGACATCAAGTAAGTAATTTAGCTTATTAAAGGTAACCCACGTAAGTATTTAATACGGCAAAGCTTCGAAAGTCGAATATTTCTTCCCGTTCATGAAAAGAGGACGTGTTATTTGACGGAATAGATTAGTTCAATCTTACGCACATGAGTATGTTCCTAGGTCTCCCAAACACCTTTGGAGGCTACGATGAGTTGCCGGAAATGACTGCCTCATACTTAAAGGTAGGACGTGACGATACGAGAATATAATAACCGCAGATAACTGATTTCACTTTACTGAAGAGATTTTACATACGAGCCTTTTTTACCAGTGTTTTCATGTTTTCAGCAATTCGTGAGCGATGGTTTGGTGAATATTGTTGGTGGTTGCTGTGGAACTACTCCGGATCATATAAAGTACGCGAATAACTGTCACTTTGTGTTTTTTACATCCTGCATGTAAACCCACGATAGTGACAATACGAGTTGCTCAAAACGAGTTTAAAACAATAAGTTCACAAGTTTGAATAATTGTCGGAATGAAATACATCTTCGACATGTCGCTATAGAGGCATGTATATACAGTCGAGATGTCACTTTGAACGTTGTTTTAGTGTTTTCAAAAATCCATATCATGTTTATTTTCGCAATTTGTTTTTTGCTTTGTAATTGTAAAATGTTGTCTTTTATAGAGCAATCAAAGAAGCCGTTGCTCCCTTAAAACCGAGGATACCGCCCAAAGATCTGCACAGTGATGCACTTTTGCTGTCAGGTATATAGTTATAATCAAGACGGAAGCTTAAGTATCCCATTGAGAAGCATCTTGTGTTTATAAAAGAGAAATTCGTTATTGCTTTTTGTAGGACTGGAAAGGACGCTTGTTTCAAGCGATTCGCTTTTTCTCAACATCGGCGAGAGATGTAATGTCGCTGGTTCCCGCCGTTTTGCCAGGCTCATCCGGGACGGCCACTATGAGGTATGTGTTATACTTCGTTTGAGAAAAATACATTGTTGTTATCAACGTTAAAAAATATTTGGCCTATCCATATACCAATCTTCATGTGTGATAAAAAATCATAGATAATAACTTTAGATAATAGTTGAAATGTACCATTATCTGACATGTCAACAAATGCATGAGAACCACGATGTTTGGACCTGGCATTTGTTCAAATGTGTAGCACCGCTATGACACAAACAATATGATAAACATTTAAAAGAAAACTCGGGAAATCTTTGCATTGGAAGTGTGATTTACAGTCTAGCTTTGGCTAACCTTATTAATTTCTTAATCTGTTTGAAGGAAGCTCTAAATGTAGCGAAACTTCAGGTTGAAAATGGCGCTCAAGTTTTGGACATCAACATGGACGAAGGTCTTTTGGACGGTGTTTCAGCCATGGCGAAATTTGTTAATCTCATTGCATCCGAACCAGAGATTGCCAAGGTACGTTCATCCTCGCTAAGTATACTCGTACTCGGTAAAACTGGCACTGGTAAAACCCGTTTCTTTACTATCAACTTGCATTGAGTCACTCGTACTCTCATCAGAAATGTTTTTAGTTCAAAGCGTCGAAAAGGTTTTCTCTTGTTTATTTTAGTTGTTATACCACATTTAATGAGCAGCTTTTTTGAATTAAAACACGACCAACATTGCTCCCTGGTTATATTTTGAAAGGCATCTTCATCGAATAACAAACTGTTTTAGGCTTAATACAATCATTGCTTCTTTTCAAAGATTCCCCTATGCATCGACTCATCCAATTTCGCCGTCATCGAAGCAGGTTTAAAGTGCACTCAAGGCAAATGCATTGTGAACAGTATCAGCTTGAAAAACGGCAAGAAAGATTTCATCGAGAAAGCCAACTTAATCAAGAAATATGGCGGCGCAGTTGTCATTATGGCGTTTGACGAAACTGGTCAGGTATAGCAAATAACCCAGATTTGATTCCTATATTCAGAAGAAAAGTCTCAAGACTTTAGCTGAAAGGAAAATGTTTAAAAAATACAAAAGTGATCATCTACAATTTGCCGGGATTTGGTCGAATGTATGGTAGTTGCTTTTGTATTTTTCAAATATCAGGGTTTTTTTTACCAAAGTCCACACAAACAAATTAATATTTAACCCAGAGTTATCGCTAACCTATGCAGCTTTGAACAACTGGTCCCTTATTATTTCTGCTCAAACTTTGGAAAATCTAATTCCCAAATCACATATTTCTGATATAAACAATTTATCAATCTCTTAGGCAGCAGAATGTGAACGAAAGGTCGAGATTTGTAGTCGTGCGTATCATATTTTGGTAAACGAAGTAAATTTTAATCCAAACGACATCATCTTTGATCCAAATATCTTGACGGTCGCTACCGGAATCGAGGAGCATAATAATTATGGCAAATATTTTATCGAGGCGACAAGACTCATAAAGGTATCGAACGTTTTCTGATGCAATGGGATAAGAAATAGGCTGCAATAAAGAAAATGCCCGGGTCCATAGTTCTACAGGTAGTTGGTAGCTAGAAATGAAGTAATATTCCGTAAATAGTGGTGAGAGATGATGCAGCCTAGTTTTTATATTGTGTCAACAGTCTGTTGCCGAAAACCTTTTCTGCTTCTGAAATTATTAATCCTTTTCATTTGGGTAGTGTTGCAGCTCCTCGCAAGAATGATTTCGTTGGCTGAACTTTACAATACATTTCTGTTTCAACCAATAGTATAGCTTCGTTCTTTAGAAAGCATAGAAAAGCATTCTCCAATTGGACGAAAGCTTCCGAGCATTGCGACATGTCCCTTTCATTTTATTTTGACTTCGAGAAGGCAATGTTTGTCCGACAGAAGGAGACAGCCAAAGTATCACAGTTTCAACTGCATGCGATGTTTTTTTCTTCATCTTCAGACACATCTGCCTCATGCTCGCGTCAGTGGTGGCCTGTCAAACTTCTCTTTCTCCTTTCGTGGTATGGATGTGATCAGGGAAGCCATGCACAGCGTTTTTCTATATCACGCTATTAAGGTAAACTTTACGAGGCATTACACACATCAAATTTGTTCCTCTCTGTAAAAGCAGTTTCATAAAGACAAACGATGATTCTGATGGTATGTTATGGCTACAGGAGTTAAGATATAAACCCAGTTAGGGCCTACACAAATACCTTTGAAACAACCTTTTGCAAAAAAGTTCCGAAACATTTGAAATACCTTTTATACAGAAACCCCCCATACTATGAGTAACTTCTATTTTTTCTCTCGAAGGCTGGTCTGGACATGGCCATCGTAAACGCGGGAAATCTTCCTGTTTATGATGACATCGACAAGCGATTGCTTGAACTTTGTGAAGCTGTGTTATGGAACACAGATCCAAACGCCACTGAGAAACTTCTTCAGCATGCCCAGGTTAGTTTGGATGACAACAGTAACACCGCATTATGCAGATAAATGTTTTCAAGTACCACTATAAATGAAGTCTTGCAAGTGTCAATATTGACCGTTTCAAGAGTCTAATATAACTGGAAGAGAACGATGGACTCATGACAAGCATATTTCAGTCTATTCTTTATTTCCACCAAAAAAGGTGTCGTACACTCGACTGCCCCCGAACACTGTTTAAAGTTAAAGGTTTGTGTTCTCCGAGTTACCTTTTGATAATCTTTTCTTCAATTTATCCATCCAGTCTCTTGGTAAAGGAGCGAAAAAGCAAGAAGTCAGTGACGAATGGCGTTGTGGATGTGCCGAAGATAAGCTGGAATATGCCTTAGTCAAGGTTTGTTTACTCAAGATACGCTATTTGTCAGGTCAGATTTAGTTGTTACCAGATGTTAATGGTGTATGAGTTGGTAGTTGATAGTTGATTATTGATAGTCTTGTGAATCTGTTGTCAGCCATGCGCTGACATCCCCGTTAACTTTGCCCATCGAAACAAATAAGAGTCTCTAGTATAGAAAAGTTGCACATTTTCAGCTGAATTCAATGGTGGTGTTTTTTAATCTTCCAACAACCGTGCACCAAAGTTTGTATAATGAGCGAAATGCTTTTGTTTTCTTAATAGGGCATAGATAAGTTTGTGATCGAAGATGTTGAAGAATGCAGACAGAATTTTGAACGATACCCACAACCTTTGAAAGTCATTGAAGGCCCTCTGATGAAGGTATACGAGCTTCTTTCTAGTCTCTCTGTGATCACTTGAATTGCATGGGAAATATCCCTGCCTGTGCGAGGGCAGAAGCAAGCGTGCCAATGGCTGTCAATTGTAATATATTCTGGCCTGTTTGTCTTACCAGGGAATGTCAATCGTTGGTGATCTCTTTGGAGCGGGAAAGATGTTCTTGCCACAGGTGAGATACTCTTGTTAATTTGTATGAGTCTCCGTCTAGTTGATCTTTTTTACCTATAATTTAAAACTTTACTTTATACAATACAATTGAACATGATTCAGTGCATTTAGTTGCATCGGAGAATACCAAGGAAAGGTTGCAAAGCAATATGTACTAGACTAGTTTTACACTAACAACTAACAAGTCAGATTATTGTTCTTATCGAAATTATTGGTCTTAGAAAAGGGTTCTCGAGGAAGCGTTGAGAAATGTCTCGAGAAAGGTCTCGCAACTTACTATTAATCATGTCTATAGGTTATCAAGTCAGCCCGTGTTATGAAGAAGGCAGTTGCTTATCTCATACCGTACATTGAAAAAGAAAAGGAGCAGATGGAACAAGAGTTGCGGGCACAAGGCGCTTGGGATGAAAACGTATGTTACCTTTCACGAAAGATTCATACATACTTCATGAAGCATGTTATATATAGTGGGTTTCGAGTACTGCTTGTCTTCATTTACAGAAACGTTTTAACGGAACGATTGTGTTAGCTACAGTGAAAGGAGATGTTCACGACATTGGAAAGAATATTGTTGGAGTTGTGCTACGATGTAACAACTATAGGTATAATATTAATTTCATGTTGTAAGGGTTCGGATTGTTGTGGATGTTGATTGAGGAATACTTGCACAAGAAGTTAAAAGCCTAGGACAACATTTGTTATCATTTTCAATGCCATGAAATCATTTTTTGTCGCATAAAGGTCTTTAATTCAGCAAAAATATCTTACTCAGCATTCAAAACTATTTTAGAGTGATTGATCTTGGAGTGATGACACCGTGTGAAAAGATATTGCAAACAGCGATTGAAGAAAGAGCAGGTTAGTCCAATGTTTACATTAAATAATAAATTGGTCAAGGAGTTCTTCGTCAAAGAAGTTTAAAGTTGAATATGATTTCATGAATGAACAAAAGCCTCATAATTAACAGCACGATATTTTTTTTCCATATCTTTAATCAGATCCAAAACTTTTCGGTTTCCTGTATATTTTCTAACCAAGCACGAGAGAGCCTGAGAGGTTTTCAGACTGCTTAAGAAGCCTTTTATGTTCAGATATCATTGGTCTATCGGGTCTTATCACCCCATCTCTTGAAGAGATGATTCATGTTGCGAAGGAAATGGAAAGGCAGGGTTTCAAAATACCTCTGCTTATTGGCGGAGCTACGACGTCAAAGTAAGTTGTACAGAATGAAACATTTCAGGACAGGTTACCCATAAGATCATGGATGATAGGAATTTTACGAAATCTTCCATTCAAAACGAGTTTATCTTTTATTTCCCTAGGACACACACTGCAGTTAGAATATGTCCGAGGTACTCTGAGCCAACCATTCATGTCCTGGACGCTTCAAAAAGTGTTGTTGTGGTAAGGTGACGAAATTCTTATCAAATTTTGCCTTTAAATATCGGGTCAAGTAATCACAAGATAGCAGCTATTGTAGAGAAAGCTTCAAGAACTGCGAAAACTTTTGGATCAACTGGAGAAATCATCTTGAAATATAAATGTTATTGTATTCATCGGAGTGAACACACGACATTTTGACACAATTTTCGCGGCCCGTGCCATTTTAAGCCGGAGTTACGGGCGTTAATAGTGTGATTTCCTGTATTTCAACAGTGTGGGAGGTTGCTGAACGAGGAAGAGAAAGAAGATTACTGTCTAGATATCAACGAGGATTATGACATGCTACGCTCTGATCATTACGACGGTATAAAGGTACGTAGATTATGTTATATATCTAAAAGTTTGGACTGGCAAAGAGCTTTGCAATGAATGAAGTAATTTGCCACTAGTTTTTAAAGTTGAATCCGTTATTTAGGACCGAAGATATTTATCATTGGCCAATTGGCCGAAAGAAGGAAAAGGCTCGTTCTAGACTGGACGACATTTAAGCCAGGTATTCTGTTGGCTACTTCAGGATGTGAGATGTCACCCATTCCTACCTTATCCTGCTTTCCCCTACTTTAACCTGCTTTCCCTACTTTAGCCTGCTTTACCCTGCTTTACCCTACTTTACCCTACTTTTCTTACCTTATCCTCTCTTACCCTGCCTTATCCCCAGCCCTACCTAACCTTAACCATGCTAACCCTGTCTTTCTTCTGTCAAGTCCGTCCAAAGTTTCTTGGAGCTCAAGTTTTCGATAATTACGAAATAGAAAAGATAATTCCTTACATCGACTGGAAGCCATTCTTCGATGTCTGGCAATTGCGCGGGAAATATCCAAACCGCGGATATCCCAAGATATTTCGCGACAAAACTGTAGGTAAGTCGCATTGAAATCTGTTTTACATGCTAAGAAACACAAGACTTCGTGTGTGTAAAACCTCTAATAATGCCACTCGACTTCATCGAGTTGAACGTAAAAGTTGAGTTACAACATGGTATTGTGTTCCTACAAACTTCAGTGCTCTCCGGTGTAAGAATTACGGTGAAATATGATGAGTTACGTCTTATACATTCTTAGGCGCGGAAGCAAAGAAAGTGTTTGACGAAGCCCAAACCTTACTGAATGAAATTGTCGAAAAGAAATTATTTCGCGCCGTGGCCCAAATAGCCTTCTATCCAGCCAACAGCCAAGGGGATGACATCCTCTTGTATCGTCCCGAAGACGATGGAAAATTTAAAGAAACATTAGCTGTGTTTTACAGCCTGAGACAGCAAGCGGAGAAAGAGCCTGGGTCGGATGACCCGTACGTGTGCTTGTCGGATATGGTAGCACCATTGGAGTCTGGGATCCAGGACTATGTCGGTTGCTTTGCGTGTTCGGTGTTTGGCGCCGAGGAACTGGTCAAAGAGTAAGATATGAAATCAAATGTGGTATTCAACAAAGCGTGAGATGATTTTGAGGTATTGAAATGAGCAGAAAACATGATCCTGGCAGTCGTATAATCACCACAACAATAGCATGTGCTTGTTTGGTGTCTTAAGGACTTATTTCAATACTTCAAAGTCCTCTCACGCTTCGTTGGATCTTGGGTAACCGGACTCATGTAAACAGCTTTAGTGGCTGTTCACATGAGCCCGGTTACCAAGATTTAACAATGTTTAACAAACATTTAAAATGGACTTTGAGGTATTGAAGTCAGTAAATAACACGATTCTGGTAGTTGTGTGATCATCCTAACAATAGCATGTGATTGTTCTGTTTCAAAAAGAGTTTTTTCATACCTCAAAGTCCATTTTACGCTTCGTTAAATCTCGGTAACCGGGCTCATGTGAACAGCTTCTCAGAGTTAGTATGTTAAGTATAGTGTACCTTGGCACATGTACAGCCAAGGGGTTACCAAGGGACACTTGTTGACAATTTCCTCCCATAAATCCTGCTGATTAACTGATTATGTAAATCCTTAGATACGAGGCGGCTGGTGATGACTACAGTTCTATTATGGTGAAAGCTCTTGCTGATAGACTGGCAGAGGTGATAAAGAACAAATTAATTTTCTAGAATAATTTGCTTTATTCATATTCTAATATTTGTTTCCATATCGCCTTCTACTTAAGGCGTTGGCTGAAGAGCTTCACGAACGGGTTCGAAAAGAATTCTGGGGCTACAGCAATACAGAAGCCCTCGAAGCTAAAGAATTGCACATGATCAAATATGAGGTTTGTTATGGGAGGTTTTGAGAACAACCATTAAGTGAAACTATAATAATATACCACCATCTTAACTACCTGTCTTGATATACTACATTCTAATGACCAGGAGCCGGTTGTATAAAACTCTTTAACTACATTTTGCATAGTTAAAGGTTAGTTTCCACTCCGGAAAATTATCCTTTGAATCGGACAGGACAGGAAAGTTTCCTTTGTATAAACACCGCCTGAGAACTCACTTACAAAGGAAATTTTATTGTCCGTTCTGATCCAAAGGAGATTTTTCATGAGTGGAAACTAGCCTTTAATCGAATTGGCCAATTCTGTGCTAACTACAGTTAAAAGTTAACTAGTCCTTTATACAACTAGCTTCTGCATCGTTAATTTACTATTTCCTTGACGCATCTCATACTTAATATTCTACTTTCTTGATTCCTGCCGTGTTGTAGGGGATACGACCAGCCCCGGGATATCCCAGCCAGCCGGATCACACCGAGAAACGAACCATGTGGGATTTGATGGACTGTGAGAGACAAACTGGTATCCAACTGACTGAATCTTTAGCTATGTACCCAGCGGCGTCTGTTTGTGCCATCTACTTCGCTCATCCCAAGTCCTACTATTTCTCTGTCGGCAAGATTACCGAGGAACAGGTATTTCTTGAGCCTTTTTTGTAAGGTTATTTAGGCAGAATACTGTCCGGTTATACCTCGCTATATTCTATATATATGTTTTATTTTATCACTACTTTACCCCCAAATTATCTTTCAAAATATTTTTGCGATAAACAAAGTGGATTCCCGCGATAATTAACTTCTCGGTTATTGTTATTCTAGGTGAAAGATTATGCAGAGAGAAAAGGTTTTAGCGTCGAAGAAATGGAAAGATGGCTGGCTCCGATTTTGTCTTACGAAAGAGATGATTCCCCAATGTCGGCGTGAATCATTCGTAGTCTTTTTTCTCTTAGGCTTCTAAAATTGATATTTATTTATAACGTTCGACGCTTGCAACTATTTAGTTTGATATTTTGATAATGCTATGGGTGGGGAGTAGGAACAGACATATAAAGACGGGTTTTAACGATCAATTGGAAGGGTTCAGAGCTTTGAATCCAGCATTCAGGGTAGTCGCGCGTCTTTTCAGGGTCGAGATATAACGCATTTGAAAAGTCGCATACAGCAACTGGCTGAACTGGAAGAATTCTAATATCCATATCGACGCGCGATATCTTAATTCAATTAACATACGGAGGTACGAGCCTAAAATCGATAAAACATTTGCCCAACTTTTCTATATTCAATTAATAATAATTTCATCCTATGGCAGAGAACTCCACAGTGTGTCCAAAAAAGTGCCCTCTTGAATTTACAAACATTGCCGGTTAATGAAGCATGCCAAGGGTATATTTTTTCACGTATTGCAAAAGAAAAGGTATTGTTCTTTCGAGCAATTTTGCATATTCATACGATGGTTTAACATTGAGTAATAATTAGATATGTATATTTCAATTCTTCTAATCTCAGCCACCACACACGCGTTGTGATTCAAAACTTCGAAATGGCTTCTACACGGTTCTAACTAAAGCCGGTTCTAACTAAAGCCGGTTCTAACTAAAGCCGGTTCTAACTAAAGCAAGAGACGCGGGTTTGACGGCTGTGAAAATCGCAATGAACAGTTCTGGCATTTTGGCGACAGATTTAACTCGACGAGCATGCAAACTTGTTTCACGACACGTTCATATTTTGAAGGCGAAGCGTCTGCATCGTTCAAAATTACCTTTTAACTGTCTCCTGGTGAGTTTCTCTAAATGTGAATGGCACGTGTAATATATCTATACAATATAGTCTTGAGAATTTATTTCAGCTGTAGTATATTTCAGTATATACATTAGTAAATTATCGCGATCGTATAATAACTTCATGCATGCATGCAGCAACGCTGAATCGATCCACATTGTCCCCGAATGAAAATCCGGGCGAGAGGCGACTTCTAAATTGCTTCGATGCATAATTCAGTTGTTCATCAAAACGAGTCGAAATTCTAAAGAAAATAGCGGTAAAGGATTGAAAAATCTGGATGAATTTATTTAACCTAAAATTAGGTGTTTGAGAGCACTACAAAGAAAAAGGTATAGCAAATTTTGCGTATGAAAAATAACATCTGGCAGCCCATAATTGGAACGTAGAGCTAGTACAAAAAGAAATAACCTCTAATACAAAAAAAATAACCTCTAAAATCAATTTGTCTATCGCCGTTCAAATCGGCCTCTCTCATCATATCGTCCAGTTCCTCTTCGGTCAGTCGTTCTCCGAGCTGTCCCATCGTCCTTCGGAGTTCCTTCATCGATATACGACCATTTCCACCCTTATCAAAATGTCGAAAAGCCTTGTGGATATCACTCTCCAAATCGGGAGCTGGCCGACGATTCTCCATTATCCTCAGGAATTGATTGAAATTTATAAATTTTTTATCTGCAATAGTTAAAAACAATATTAAGACAATTAAGACAGGCGTTGGGATACATGTTTCTATACATTTTAGACACCCGTTTTATCAACAACTTTAAATCGCAAATCCTTTGACCCGATAATTTTACACTTCTCTAACCCCACTAGTAAAGCTAAAATCTTAGTAAAAGGGACGGGGGTATCATTTTTTTACCAGGAATGAAGGAATAAAGAATTCCTTCATTGTTCTTTTGGCTTTAAAGTCGACCGAGTCATCGTCCAGTTCACATAGAGTTCTCTGGGTGTCACTGACTTCTATTTAAACTGAATATACCTCCTTCGCTCGCTTGTGTGACTATTGTATGAAGTTCCTCGTCTGTACAGGTCTGCCCGACAGTTTTCAGCAAGACACCGATATCATTCACAGCCACTTTACCAGGCTTGTCTTTTACACACAAGTTAAACGCTTCACGCAAATCTAGAAACGATGATTTCAAATATTTAGGAAACGCTGGTAGTGGGGCATATTCATATATCCGTCGAACATGCAGGCAATGCAGCATCATTTTTCAAAATTTTGTTTTTGTAAAAAATCAAGCAAGCATATGCTTTGGTTAATCATTTTTCAACAGCTATTTACTTGTCTTACCTTCAACCTCCTCCGGTGTAAACTTTGTTGATGGCTGTTCAAACAAAAAGTTTGCACAGATGATAAAAGTTGTTCATTCCAATATATTTATTCTAAATTTTCTGCTGAACATTATTAAAATTTGATTAAAATTGACATACTATAATTATATATAGGCCTAGCGACCTGCATCCTCGAATGATCGCGGTTTAATATGATGACCTATTTTGCCACCCATTCCTCCATATTAATTTCGTAAACTTATACATGCTTGTTTTATATGTAAGAGCAAAATGTATGTTTCATGTGGAGGAGCGATTCTCTAAAAACACAGTACATCGCCCAGAAAAAAATCGCATATAGTCTTAAAACGAGCGACCAGATTAATTAAGTAAATTTTAAACGAAATGAAACAGCGTCATTACAAAAACTGATTCACTTCGAACATTCACACATACTGTAGAAACCTTAGTCACGGGACCGGAAAATAAAATCAATTTTTTAAAGATATGTAAGTAAAGTCTCAAGGCTATATAAGACGAATGCTGCCGCCTTACGCCTTACAATGCTTACTATACTATACAGCAATTTTCCAAGTTCTAATTTACTCGCAGTATTTCAAAGCATAAAATTAGAATATAATAGTGGCTAAGCTATATCCTTGAACCGGGTTAAGGAATATATGCACTTACATTTTTATCCCGTTCGTTCATATCTGATCAAAATAGGAAGTTTATTAGCAGTTTTAAGCAATCGTATTTTCCACGAGTTTGTATGCAGGCAATTGTTGTAGTTAAGTACATAAATAATCATAACATCAACTTGTTTATTCAATGTTTAAGATTTTTGACAGGTATTTGCACTTTTGCGGTTTGCAATAACTGTAAATGAATCTCAGCATGTTGAGACAAGAAAAAACTCCACTATCTGGCCGTATCTCGAAGTTCGCAACAATTTCGCTAAATTATAAGTAAACGCTCTACACAAAACCCCTGATTTTCAACCGTGCATTATGCAAGAAATTCAACGCATTGCTGATGTGTTTTGCCAAACAAATTGCTGTCCACATTTGCCGAACAAAGAAATTTATTGTTTCGACGGATGTGGGTTTAAGCAGTCATTCAAGCATCAAATTTTATATGACAAACATGAAACACGTAGCAACGGCTAAGCTGATTTTGCGCCTGCAATGGCCTATTGCTTTCTCATGCACATCACCAAATTGGCAAATGAATGAAAATCACAGGTTTTAACACCAAGTTTGACGTTTACCGTACACATCAATCTCTGTAATATTATCTAATCTAAATTGCCAAGTTGCAAGTATAGTCGTTGAAAGTTGTTCAGTGTTTCGTCATCTTTATAAAAACATTTCATTGGGCTTTGAGTCGAGTTTTTGTAAACTTATAACACTTTCAGTCACTAAACTAATAATGACATAAATAATGGTTCGTGGCAATTGAGATCTACGATGGCGCTGCATGCATGTGCGTCTTGTGACGAATGTGGTTTAACAATGCGTATTTCTTGGTATCACGCGACGCATCTCGTGATGTTCTCATGACTAGTTTTCATTATACTGTGGGAAGACTTCGGTGCGTTTGGTTGGCAGAGAAACAGAGATCCAAGCCAAAGAACCTAAATTTCACAGGCTTGCATTGTAGAATTTGAAACAACCATCATTACCATGATTGCGAACGATAGTCAGCCAATTATTCCCGACGTAAGCTCGGTGCCACTCACTCAGCGAAAGACGTTAAAATTCGGCCGCTTTGAGGTCAGTTTGACCGTCGCAAATATATTTTTCGCATTTCTGGCAATCTCTGGACAAGTTGGTCAAAATGTGAGTTTACCATTGTGGATTGATTCGACAATGTTGCCACCATCTGTTGGTTACACAAACCATTCAACGAACCATACGAATTCCTCGTCTGGTAGTAGGGAATATCGGCCGAGAGTTGATGGCTTTTTTGTCTATAGTTTTGGATGCATTTCGTTCGTCGTGATATTTGGAACAATGCTGCTTTCCATTCGTTTGTTTCAACCGCATCGTCTCGGCGAAACGGAGCGAATGTTCCCACATTCCCAGTTGTTTTTGGTGGGTTTTTTCGACGCTCTGAACGGGGTCCTTGTCGTGTTTGCCAGCAGCGGAAGTCGAACCGCTCCATACCTACAAGCAATACTAGGAAATTTTATGATTCCGCTTACGATGATATTCCGGTATGTGATGTTTCTGTATTATTCAACCTAATTACGGAAATATACCTTTGTATTCAGATCCGTGCCTGTGAGGCAGGAATTTTGTGTACTCCCTTTCATTTTCAAATGAAATTGTCCAAGTAGGCTGTTTAAACTGCGACATCTCACTAATTTCGCCCCGGTTAAAGTACGCAGAATTTTTGTACAGTATATGGAACGTTACCAGTTTACTTGTACCATGCGATTTTATCCATATACCCTATGTTTAATTTATTTCTGGCACGGTTAAAATTGAGTTTGATGAAGTTTTGACTGCCTCATGATAGATAGAGATGGTGCGGCAGTCTTATATAATGATGAATTTTGTGCCAATTTTGACTTCATCGCCCCAAGCTTCTAATAAAGTATTCGTCTCTGCATCTGACCAGAGCTTTCCCCTGCTATTCTTTGCCGCCATTTTTCGGTAATTATTTAATCTGCGCATTATCAAAAGTAGAAAGTTGCTGATGCAACTCTATTTTCGGCACGGTGCCCACGTTTCGGGCCGAGACCACCTTTTACCAACGCGGTCTCGGAATGGATAAAATTACCGCGGGCTGCAGACCCAATACTATAGCTGTTTACAAGACAAAATTTAAACGTGCCGTGCCATTTTCTTCCGCCCGCTTGCCAAAAAGTTTGTCGTGCAAACCGGGCTTAAGATACGATCACGTGCATGCACCATCTCAAATTCACCTAAACTCATTGACTTGAAGATCTCAATCATCTTGTAGTTTTCCCCATGGTATCTACCCTTGAATAAGAGCTTGGTTGTGAGTATATTATCCTAAATCCGGTGGCTAATGATGGCGAAACGACTCCCTTTTATTGCTCACAATTTACGCAATTTCTCTATCGCACTCAATGAGCGCAAAAGTGTCTTTTCAAAAGAGGCGTGTACGAGTAAAATAGTCCTATATTTTTTTTTGTTTATATAATTATATTGACAGCTATTTACTATCCTAGCTTTCAACGCTGTTACGCACTTCTTCACCATACCAAATTACATGTAGTATTTGCTTCTCTCTCAAATCTCTAGATATTTCATTATTCGTAAAGTGCCGACACTTCGAAAATTTCTCTGCGCAATGGTCGTGTTGGCCTCGTTATTTGTCTGCCTCATTCCCAAGATATTTACTTCTATCGACCCAGAGGCAGACAAATCTGGTGGAGCGAGTGGTGTGGCGGGAATCCTCTGGCCCTTATGTTTCATGTTTGGTTTTGTAAGTAGACATTTTTGACGAGACTGGTTTTCTATAATTGACGGCAAAAAAAATGGAGGAATTTTGCCTTATAACTACAGTTATAAGTGAATCGTACAAACTCTCAGGGGTATACAAACTCTCATGCATGCATGCACGCTTATACAGTGAAGCTTTACAGCTATATATATATATATACCTTTCAAATAGTATATACTAAAGTCTGGTTGGTGTAAACAGGGCTTGAAATTCAACATTATCTGGACTAACTACAATATTTTTTTAACTATTGGCAGTCCATATAGTTTTTGACAGCTGCATTTTATTTTCTTTGTCTCAGCTCCCTGCGGCTATAATGAACGTCATTGAAGAACGAGGGTTGAAGATGGAAATAACTTCGGCAAAAAGTCGCGTAAATTTGGTGTTCTTTTTGTTCTGGACGTCCGTGTATCAACTGCTGGTGGCCTTGTGTCTGTTCTGGGTTGATTTCCTGCCTGAATATGGTTATGCTGATAACATACACCACTTCTGGGATAAGTATGTTCTTTTTCTATACAACAAAAAACGATAAACTATGCGAATTAAATTTGACATAGATAAACTGATGCATATGGCGTAAGTGATAAGGTTGCTAGTATGCTTTCCAACAGAATTTACAAATTCGAATCGAATGAGACCTGGAGAGTTCAATCTCAAAGGCGGAGGTTGAAGCACCAACTAATTTTATTTAGCGACCTTTTAAAGAGGGGGAGAGAGGGAGTTCGCTTTTAAAGCAAGAAAAATGCTTGCAATTATGCTTGACAAAAAAGCGCTTTGATTCCAGGCAGTGCCTTTGCTCAAAACGTCAGTGCTCTCATCATATCAGTCCATCCAAGTTTATCCCAATCTATCTGAGCCTATCAATCCATATCTATCCTCAGCCTAGTCCCTATAGGCTTCTATACGTTCCTTAGTACACGCGATCTCGTCTATCCTACCTGGAGTCTGGACTATACCTCTATCTTCTCGTGAACTGAACTGACTAGTATTTTCCCTTTCAGTTGGTCGTTTGGTTTCAAATGTTTCTTTGGTGGAGCTGGTTGCAATTCGAAATGTGGCGTTCGAGGAGCAATGTTTATTGTTATGTATACTATCAGTTATATCGGGGGAGGGAACTTAATGAGATTTTCAGAAGGCGCGACACTCCTTGCTATCGTTAATGTAAGTTGAATGTTGAGTTGCTTGTCGCTGTAAAGGCCGGGGCCTGTTGTTTAAAATCTGCATGGCAAGCCCTAGCTATGCTTAACCCAATCTACAAATATACTATTTCTACTAACTGCGTGTGCGGTTGGGAAACGTAGAAAAGCATGTGCTTTGAAATCCACACAATAAATGCTTTTCTAATACGATAATGCAGAGGACACCTAACCAGCCTCAAACAGTGCCTTCACACTTTCCTAGGTGGCGTGTTTTAAAATCTAGGCTCTGGGTTAAATAGAAATTGATAATATGCTTGAAATTTTAACATCATTTTTCTAGGCTGTAGTCACCCCGCTGGGTTTCCTGTTCTGGACGATATTCCGCGAATCACCGTTTGGCTTTCACCCAGCAGTTCACATCACGACATGGTTCAGTATTGGGGGCCTTGTAGCCATGGTGCCCGCAATATTCTTGTACAATACTGGGTATGTAATGCTTTTTCGAACACAGAAGCTCACGAAATTCAGGTGTCGGTCACGGGGAACATTAGGCCAGACACACGTATATTATTTGTCTCTTATAGCCTCAAGTAGCCTGTGCACAGGCTGTATTGCGCACTGTACTAAGAGCTTTTCTATCATTTTTTCTTTCTGTAAGACCGGAAGAAACTGAAAGGGTAGAAGTCAATCCTGAACGAAGTTCTTTGCTCCATCATAAAGATGCAATCAATGGTTATACTTAATTAAAGTGCCTGATTAATTTTCAGGCCATTCAGAAGTTGTCATAGTCATCCAAGTCGAAGGCTTCGATTTTATTAACGTTAACACCGTCGTAGTGTATAGTATTGTATAGTATATTATAGTATATTTTATTTTTATTGTTATGAGAGCGATACCCAAAAGGGATTTATAGAAAATAGCAAGGCACCTCTCTTAAAAAAACGACGGGTGTGAGGTCGGGAGGTACTACTAGGTAGCCTTCTCTGCAGGCAATGGACCATATAAGGGTATTTTTATAAATGAAATGGGATATAATTTTAGTTTTGGTAGTGGAATAGAGTAGACTGGTAATCTATAACGCGATACGTTATTTCACGATACTCTATTATAGCTTTGTAATCTTAGTGGATGAGCATGCAGCGTATTCTATACGCAACATTTGTTTATAACCAAAATATAAACATATTCGCAATTGCTTCAATCCTCTCATCAGTTTAGTTCTTCCGCTGTACTATCGTGGTACCTTATCTTTGTATAAACTTCAGGAACCGTTTGACTAAAAGTACTAACTTGAAAAGGATTTGCTGTAGCTCCAGCATTCTGATACGGAACATGCTGGTGTTTCTTTAGACGGTCAACATATAATGCAATAAACTGTATAAACTCACTGAACAAAAAATGCGGTCGAAGATACATCGCCATATTTTATCGCGCCAATCTCCGACATTTCGAAAATTGCATTCCTTGCGAATGTTATATTAATAGAAAATATGTTTATCGGAAACCGGAAACGTTCGGAAGAAACAACTTGTTTAGCCTGCGCGACAACAGTATAATAAAAACTTGGGGTAGTGTCGTACCGTATAATATTAGAAATAACCGCGTCTATTTTCTGATAGTTCAAATACTTTTGGGTTGTTCAGCATAACACAGCCACAAATGCAAAAATAGCTTAGTCTCTGTTATGATTGATATACTCCGACAACATGCAATGTTCGTAAATTTCCGACAGGTTTTAATCCTGGGGGGGGGGCATGCCCCCCCCCTGGCCCCCCCGGCCACGGCGCCCCTGCCTGTTTACACCAACTAGACTTTAGTATATGTTATATATCCTTTTTATGCATGATCGGTTAAGGTGTGAAAGGCTTGTAACGACGAGCGCATATATATAAGTACCCAAACTTCTTTAGCATCTTACTAACTATTTGAAAGGTATATATAGCTACGGCCACGGCGCCCCTGTCAAGTGAACTTCACGTAACTGAAATGATAAGGCTCGGTCGCCATCTTTAAAGCCGACTTGAAGGACTCTGCCATTTGCGCTATCATTGATATATGAGGTTGATATCATAGGGCTGCTTTCCCGCGCGTTTTTTATATGGTATGTGAAGGTCTAAATCCTTATTTATATATGGTATATTTGAAAAACCTAGCTGAATAAGTCGGAAAGAAATTAGTATGTATATGTAATATTTTAGTATTAAAATGCAATTGTTGACGCATGTGTTGAATATAATTAAAAATTGAAAGCATTTCAAGTCTTCCGCGCGTAAAAAACGCGTAAGTGGAAAGCAGCCCTAAAAGCTGGCTCTGGGCTACCTCCTCATCAGGAGTTTCATAATACTGCGAGCAGGCGGGAAAATTTAGGAAGGGATCGGCGCGGGTAGCATTCCCGCCCGCTCGCAGTATTATGAAAGAGGTGACTCTTGGATAATCCAAGCCGGACGCCAGAAATCCTGCCTTCTCAGAGAACTGAGGCTCTGGAATAATCGAAATCAGAAATGATTCTGATTGGTCGTTCACGCCGTTTCAATTTTGAAATACAAAAAACCGTTACAAACGCCCGCCATATTTGCCCGAAAAGTGCCGGCGGAGGAGGTAGGTTTCAAACCGGAAGCCAGGATTTAGGATTTCTAAATTTCTGAATTTCTGGTTTGCATTATATCTCCCTTATCTCCCTTTGTTTCTCGAGGAATCGCGGGCTCGGGGAACGAGATTGACATTACGTCAGTGCCATACGTATGTTACAAATCGGGCGGAAGTGATGTAATAAGTTTTTCAAGAAACATAAATAACACTTATTTATACTGAACCTTGTCGATATCAATTTTGAAGTCCGTAATATTGGCCAAATTAATATTTTTTCGATATATCTCCCGGCACAGTCACAGAGGAGACTTGAGGGACCGCTTCCGACAATACGAGTTGGCACTTGGACTTGATAGCTTTCTTTATTTCGTTTTTATCTCGCTCGAAATGGCAGATAGACAGTATGTTTATTGGTTTGTATTGTTTTGCATCGTCTGTGGAGAAAGCGTTTATCTTTCTCTTCACGACAAAGAAGGTTTTCTCAACATCTTCTTGACAATTTTTGGCATTGTCCTGGAATCTATCATTCGATGTATTTGCAATCATATACAACAAAAAATCATCTCGATCTGGAATAAAACGTTGTCTCGTCAGGATTGCTTTCGCCCCCTCAGGGATTCGCGGGAAAAAATTGTTCCGGCCATAGTGATTGATGTAATTGCAATTCTTGGGTATTGTATGTGCACTGAAACTCATCCGTTTAAGTTGCCTAATTTTATGCTAATTTTACGAGTGGTTGCACTAGGAACATTTTTTAGGCTCCTAATACTTAATACTGATGAGAAAGTTCGAAGTGATGACCCCAACGAAATCGATGAACGAACCATGCATGAGGTTTGCAACAGCTTTCATAAAACTTTATCAAATAAAGTGGATGAACTTGATGCATCAATTGGAAGTGGCAAATTCACTTTTGCCTCATTATCACCAGGTTCTGATCAAATGAGGTTGACTGCAAACAAGATAATTGTGCTTGTGTTTCCGTCTGGAATTGACAAGAAACTTAACAGTTTGGACAGGAGCATCCAGAGTGTGAAAACGGATTGTGAATGTTTCCCTATTTATTCTTGGGTAGACTCAAATAAAATTCACACCTATATTATACTGAAAGCTGAAGCACCATTTGAAATGATTAAGATGATGTGCTTGAATAAGAAGATCACCAATGAACACTTAAATTTATATAGGGAAATGAAAATATTTCATAATAAATGGATTCACCATTTTTTGAGAATAGACTTCCTGCTGTCTTCAAAGTGTATACCAGTCTTTGTGGAAAAAATGGGTCAGCGCAATGGGTGGCTTATTCGATGCATCATGAAGGGTATTAGACAGAATCAGGAATCGGAGACATCCCCAGCTCATCAAATGTTTGCTGATGAGCCTGAAAGAGAACACATTGAAACAACTGTTGGTAATCGTAGTAATCTAAGAAAACGCAAAAACCCAAAAACTGGTAATGGCAAAAGAACTGAACCAACGAAGAATGGTCTAAGCACATCGAGGAAATCACGGCAAAGGCAAACCGAACGCTGGGACTGGTGAAGAGAGCATGTAGAGATGTGCAAGACGTGAAGACAAGGAGGACGCTGTACTGCACTCTGGTTCGCCCGCAGTTGGAGTATTGCTCCAGTGTTTGGTCGCCATACACTGTTAAACATCGGACATTAATTGAAAATGTTCAACGCCGCGCCACCAAATTCATCTTGAACTACCCAGAAAGTAATGTATCTTACGCCAATAGACTCAGCGAACTTAACCTGCTACCTCTGGAATATCGAAGATCTATCAAGGACATTACTCTATTTTATAAATTCAACTCTGGTACTATGTTTATCGACTCTAAGGGCATTTTCTCTCCAGTAAACTGTGCTCGTTTAACACGTAATTCTAGTTCACATAACTTTAAAACCAAGATATCACACAAACAAGACTATTTTAGATTTTCCTTCTTTCCACGGGTGATAAATTTGTGGAACAAGCTACCGCATGATACTAAAGCCTCTTCATCATTACAGTCACTTAAAACAAAGCTTATACTTCAATCTAAAGATACTCTGCAAAGTTACGTTCCTCCATAATTACATAATACTTAGTAATAATAACTTCTGTTTTGTAATAATGTAAGCATATGTGACCGTCCGAGTTTGTTTGTAAAATTTCTGTATATGTCTGTACTAGTTGTATTTTAGTGTACCTATATTTAGATAAGGAGACAATTACAAATTGGGACTTATGTCCTGTTATTGCCTCCTGTCACTGCTGTAACTCTTAGTGACAAACCAATTAAAAAAAAAAAAAAAAAAAAAAAAGAAACGAACTCAAGCAAGCCCTGTAAAATTACCTGATCAAGAAGATGGAACATCAAGCCTACAGAGTTCTAACTCTCAAGCCACTGTTCATAACCAAAGTGGGTTAACTTTACCTAATGATGCCATTGCTAGTTCTGATGAAGAAAAGGAAGAAGTTCCAGAGGACATCGTTGAGCAACAACACATGGAGGAAGAGAGTATAAGAGAGACCTCATGTACCAAAATGGGTTTTTCAGTTCCACAAACATCTTGCCAACAGGATCCAAGTCTAGCTGTTGGTGCAACACCCAGTTCCAGTGGTTCATCTATGGAGGAAGCTGTACTAGGGCTAGACAAATGTAATCCTCATGATTCAGAAAGAAAACTACTCCTTGGTGAGAATGATTGTAGCCGTAGCTGTGTGATTAATGTTGAAAGTGATTCTTCTGCTGAACAACTCCCAGTACCAGCTGAGAAACGGGAAAATATTTTATGACCTGGAAAGTTGTAAATTGTTGCTAATATTATATATCCTTGGGGCCCTGAGTTTGCCTAGTCTGCACCCTTAATAGTTAGGCCACTGTGCGAAGCATTGAACAATTGAACAATTAAACAATTGAAGTAGTAAAACTGTTGAAAACAGTTGCACCATTTCTTTTAGCAGTTAGACTTGCACCATTCTCATAGACTTTCTTCATTTTGTATGACTTCAGCAAAGGGAAACTTTAAGTAATTCTATTATTTTTAGGCGGAAACGCATTTGTTTTACCCCAACTGTAAATTAAGATTTAAATTTTTCACTCTTCATACTATTAGTTAGAATGTAGTAAAACTTGGACAGATAAATAAATCCAGGTGCATGATAATGGTCATAAGGCACCTTATGACCTTATGATCTCAGATCAGCTGGATAGAACATTAGTAACACTCTGCTGTACATTAAAATTCAATATACATTTCTACTGTCATTTCACACTCTTTACGCCCATAAAATTGTCCAGAAAGTTTCCAAACACTTTAGGGTCTCCAGGGATTAATCTTTTGAGGCAGGAAAGGTCTTTCTTTTCAAGAACATCTTTTAAGTCATCACAAATACAATAAACTAAATGTTCGTCTTTTGCCAGTTGTCTGGCGAGTTCAAATTGATGGTTGTCCATTAATTTTTCGTTTACGACAACAATCAGCGGTTTGCACAACTCCAATGACTCTGTTATGCAACCAGCTCCTTGTGAATCAAAAATGTAGAAAAACATTTATCAATAGAGATTTATATTTAGAACTTGGGGATTATTCATTTTTATTGACTGATCTTGGATATAAATACTACCGGTTATGGCAATTCTAGAAATAAACATTTTCAGGAAATATTCATACCTGCGTGGCTAATAATTAACGATGCTCTACTCATATCATCTTTCAGCGAATCCTTGTTACCTTGTAACGGTAAAACTCCAACGCAAAGCTCTTTTTCTTGAAGCATTCCGGCTCATATTTCCCTCTTCCTATTTGAACCACAAGTTTGGTGAATCCTAAACGTTCGAGCACATTGAGAACTGGCTTGCTCGTTAAAGTTTCCACGAGACGATCAAAACTTGTGCTCCCTACCGTCGCAAAAACTATTTTTTCGTCCGCCATATTGAATCTCAGGAATACCGAAGACCGAAGTCTGAGAGGAGGCCACTGAGCTATATAATTGCATGATCACGCATCATCATTTATCCGTCCTTCTTGACTTTTTACCCTAGTAAAGATGTTCTCGCGCGTACCGCGAACTGACCAACACAAACACACAGTGTAGTCTATGCTGGTCCATCCCCTTAACCCCTTTAAGCACTCAGGGACCATAACAATCATTATCGTGCAAACCCACACTGAGCTATATAATAATTCCTGGAGGGCTTGCTCGCCACCAAATTAAAGTGAAAACAACCTCGTACCCAGGGAATTCAAAACGCCTTGATGGTTGATACCACTGAGCTATATAAGTGGTATCAGGGTTACCAGTGGTATCAGATATCAGGCATTCTTCTACTGTTTGACTCAGTTAAAATAGTCTCATACTCTCAAAGAATAGCAGTTTATATAAACACCTCTTTTGGATATGTCTAAATTAATAAACATCTATTCAGCTTGATGGCATAGATACAGATGGATACAAGGTTTAATAATAATAAAATGATATTAAACAATGCCCAGGCAAGTGCAAGGATCTGGCAAATAAATTTAAAATATATAATTTAGGACAAGAAATCCAAAGGATTGCAAAAACAACTCTACTTATAAATTCCATATGTGAAACAATTTATGCGGATAAAACTATAAGCGTGAATCTCAATTCATTTTCTATGAGAGCTGTCAAAAATGCCATCGATGAAACTTCAGAAGTATAAAATATAAATCGGCTATATGAGTCGATATTCATCCCTTCTGGAGACTAATTGCATCAACACACTGCAAAAAGAGTCCATTGTTTTTAAAGGTCGAAAAAATAGTAGAAAATAGTCGGATTCGTTTGAAAAAAAAACAAAAACAAAAAATGTTTTTCGAAGGCAGCCGGAGGGCGAAGGAGTGCGCCTGAAGCACTGTATCGCGGTTGTCAGTGGTCATTACCATAGCCCAGTGGGACCATATCTGGCGTCAGCACGAAAAAATCCGCCATGTTGCTTGCTTCACTTTTTTGACAGGAGCCGGTCCTCCAGGAATTATTATATAGCTCAGTGCATACTCCTTTAGAAAAGGAATTTAGAATAGCTTCATTCGGTAGTTTGGAAATAAATCAAAATCTAAAACAATTTTTAAAGATTGCTTTCTGTTGAGTTTGCTCTATCCATTTTTATTCTCTTCTAGTTGGTCTTCAAATGTCTTGAGAATAATGAAAAATGAAAATCATGTAAAATCAGTGGCGTAGCCAGCCTGACGATTTAATCAGGGGCGTAGCCAATGGGAGGGGAGGGTAAGGGAGGGCGGTCGCCCCCCAGTGGTCTTTAAAACCGTTCTCATGAAATGTTTAAATCCAGCGGAATATGAGGAGGGGGGATCAGGTTAGGTAAGCAACGAGTAATCAGTAAATCTAAAGAGATTTTCACGTGTATTGTTCGTTGATCTAATGTAATAATGACAGAATTTTGTGATTTGTAATCTTACGATTACTTTTAAAAGCTCGTATCAGAATGCGGGAAATGGCGTTTCCAAGCCTTAGAAACTTACGGACCCCCCCCCCAGATTGTTTGCGGCTTCCCCACTCACTGGTCGCCCCCCCCCCAAATTTTCTACCCTGGCTACGCCACTGGATTTAGTCATGCTATGCAAATTTTATGCTATTATGCTTATTCATTTCTTTAGAAATTCATTGTTTTCACAGTCGATGAACACCAAAATATTAGCATAGCATGACTAAATTGTCGGGCTGGCTACGCCACTGTGTAAAATGAGAGTTTTGTGAAGGAATTTTTTAGACAGAAAATGATATGGAGAATGGACATATCTGTCGGGGAATTTTACAATTCGGAACTAGTTTCAGTTCTCCGTGAGCAGTGAGCACGGTTTTCAATATGGCGCAGTCATTGGAAATTCCATTGCTAGAAGGCACTGAGACTGAGCTATACACTGAGTTAAAGGCCGACGCACACTAGAGCTATGTGCTTAGCAAAAATTCATTCGTGGCCATTGGCGTAAGCCAGTTGCTCTCGTGTGCGGGCGACTTTTCCGGCGACTTTGGTCATTCGTGCCACATACGGCAAATATCTAGCATGTTTGATAATTTCTGCCTCGCGTGCCGAAATCTCTCCGTGTGCGGCAAACTGAAAGCTATCTGCTTATGGATTGTCTTAACAGCGCATGCGTAATATACGAAAGTGAACATCCAAGATGGCGTACAGATTGCAAAATAAAATTATGGATGTTTGTTATGTAATGTTTTTGGTTTTGGGCAGTTTTGGGCAAAAAGGTGAAGCAAGAAAGATGGCGGATTTTTCGTGCTGACGCCAGATATGGTCCCAATCACCAATCAGTGGTGAGTGTGGCGGCTATCTTTAAAAGGGGGAACGGGGAATCGGGGAATGGGGGAATCGGGGAATGGGGGAATCGGGGAATGGGGGAATCAGGGAATCGGGGAATCGGGGAATGGGGGGAATCGGGGAATTGGGGAATCGGGAAATCGCCCTAAAAAATGTGATATTTCATTATTATTACTAAATACTTTTTTGCAAACAATAGCCTTTCAGCTTATTAATTCGGCTGCTTTTAAATGAGTTGTTTTCTAACGAAATAATACTATGACTAATACCCACGCTTTTCTTTTTGTGAGCTTGCTCCTTCCGTCTCCACACAGAGCAGAGGGTTATTCGTGAGGTTATTTGTGAAGTTATTCAAATTTGTTCTAAATATTTGGAAGACCTTCAGTTCTACCATGCATTAATTAAGAATAAGCCATGGAACGGGAAAGCAAACAAGTCGTATTAAAGGCTATGTAGCCTAGGCTTGGAACCACTCTATTGATGGTGTTGCAAAAGGCCACATGGTACAATCTAACTGTGCAAAGAACTATCTTGCAGTGTATAAACGCCATCAACGTCTACTCAAATCAAAGTTCGCTGGTTCAGTTCTAGTTTACAAGCAGATTGAGCTTTATTCAAACGGCTTTTTATCCCCTCTGAGAGCCGCTTTTCAGGCTATTCCTATCCTTTATCGCGTGTTTTATCTCAATGAATCGCATTTTCCCTTTATGTCAGTCCCCCTTGTCAGTTTCCCCCATTCCCCGATTCTCCCATTCCCCGATTCCCCGACTCCCCCATTCCCAGTTTCCCCCATTGGTGTGATGCCACATCTTCGGCAATCGACGGATATGGCGAACGCGTTCGTTCTGCTACTTCGGTAAATTTCGTTGTTTTCGGAGGAGCGAACCGAAGTTTACCGAACTGTCCGAACTACGTTGATAATTTTAAAGCGAAGGTGTTTGAATGTCAGTACTTTAAAGTTTGTGTATTTTTGTGACATTTGCTATTTTAATCGCTCGTTTTTCTACTGCGGTCGAGGAATTTCGATCACAATCGGATTATTAGAGCGCACATATTCACTTGGAAATTTGTTGTACGGTACATTGCATACCTAAACATGTTGGGACACTTGTGATTTGTCGATACTCAAAACAACTACCATCAAGCAAATGTGCTCGACTAACCGCATTGTTATACGAACACTGGACTGGCCTTTTATACATGGAACTGTTATACGAACACTGGACTGGCCTTTTATATATGGAACTGTTATACGAACACTGGACTGGCCTTTTATATATGGAACTGTTATACGAACACTGGACTGGCCTTTTATATATGGAACTGTTATACGAACACTGGACTGGCCTTTTATATATGGAACTGTTATACGAACACTGGACTGGCCTTTTATATATGGAACTGTTATACGAACACTGGACTGGCCTTTTATATATGGAACATAATGTCGACTGGCATAATGATGATCTTCAAACTCAAACTAGGTAAAAAATGTAATACGTTTTGTAAATAAAATGTAATAATTTTTGTAAACGTAAATAAGACGTGTTGTATTGTCATAAAAAGTGGCTCAATAATTTAAACTAGTTTCCTAGTTGAATGTTCATAATTTTAATGTTTGATGTTTCAATATCATCAAACATTTTGGCAAACATTAATAATGATTCAATCACTGTGTGTAACAAATACTCTCTCTCTGATCTCAATTTTTTATATACAATAGTCATCATCCAAAATAAATCTTATTCAGAATTGCACCATTTTTGTTGAGGATCATTATGAAAAAGTGAAACATTATTTTCAAGTTGTTAGATCGCTCCTCTCAAAAATTTTTTTCACCTACTGTAAAGAAAAATATGCAAATTACTAGTATCCCTCTAGCCGTAATATGACCAATTGGTAACACTTAAAACAAAAGGAAATCAAGTTCATGAAAAACAATAACAATCAACATGCAATCAATAAAGGAATTGAGCAACTTATCAAATCTTGGATACTCTCAAGTTTTTTATCCTTTTTTTGTATATTTATTCACTAAAAAACACTCATCTTAGACCCCAATCAATCTAACATATTTTAATGCAATAAATATATACTGTATTACTAATACACAATTATATATCAATACCCTCAACAAAAACAATTTTAAAAAACAATTTGAAAATCATATTACCTCTTGTATCATACATAATTCATTGTTCACTCATAACTTATCTATCTAGGAATCAGCTTATCTTAACAAAACAATTATTTTACAAATCTTTTAAACTAGCACCTGTAAATGTATCTATTGCAGCCTTTATATAGTTCCATTGGCCAAAAGAACCACCTAGTTTTAAGCATTTTTATCTGATATCTTACACAAATTTACCAGTTCAACAATTGTTTTATTTCTTGAATCTATGAAATAATACTGTCATCTCCAGCTATAATGGTGATAAACGTATTTATACAAAAACTTTGGGAAACAAGCCTTATAATCGTACTGGAACAACAACCAATATGCTAGCTGATAATCAAGGGACATCAAAAAGAAATAATTTGAAAACGTCTAAAACCTTTCTCTCTTTCCAAACTAAACTTTATGTTATCTGACGATTTGTGCCATTCTTGAACCTTACTCTCTTTTTTGTTTTCTCCACAAAAAAGTTGTTAAAAACTATGCATTTCCTATCTTTTGTAAATTTGCTTTTATATATGTTATTATTCTGTCGCTAAAAATGTATTTAAATTAATACAATAAAAATATATTACATATATTGCGCAATAAAATCGATTTCGTTATATCTGAATTCAACTAGCTATCATTTTTGCC